CTTTCTCCTGTAATGTAGCCGTTTGCATTGATTTTAGTGTGAATGTGGGGAGCTCCTCTTGTTCTTCTTTTTCCTCGAATTCTGGTTGAAGCACTGGATTGCGGGACATACAGTCGGCGTCGCTATGTGTTGATCCTTTTTTATATACAACCGTGTAATCAAATTCTGCAAGTTTTAGTGCCCACCTGGCCAAGCGTCTGTTACTTTCCTTAATGGAGTCCATCCAGCAAAGAGCATGATGGTCAGTAACGATTTTTACTGGTCTCCCATAGATTAAGTGTCTCAAATAGCTCAATGCCCACACTACGCCTAAGAGTTCTAATTCACTAATTGAATAGTTCTTCTCGCTATTTGAAAGGCTTCTGCTTATGTAGGCTATTGGATGTGCTTCTCCCTTGTCGTCTTCTTGTAAAAGTACTGCCCCAATTCCACATGTTGCTGCGTCGGTGTGCAGAATGGTATCTTTATTTGGATTGAAATGCTGTAGCACAGGTGCGGAAACCAGTTTTTCTTTAAGAATGTTGAATGCTTTGTTTTGTTCAGAACCCCATTTGAACCCTATGTTCTTTCTTGTAACTTTATGTAGCGGTCTTGCTATTGATGCAAAGTTATGTATAAATTTTCTATAAAAATTACATAATCCTAGAAAGCTCTGTACATCTTTAATTTTCTTTGGCGTCGGGAACCCTTTTATGCAAATTATTTTTTCTTCATCTGGTAATATGCCTTGCTCCTTTACTTTGAATCCTAGTATTTTGATTTCTTTTTTCAAATATTCGCATTTGCTTGGTTTTAGAGTAAGGTTAGCTTGTCGCAATCGCTCAAAAACTTTCTTTAGTTTGCTCAAGTGTTCTTCGAATGTTTGTGAGAATATAATGATGTCGTCTAGGTAGATTAGCACTTCCTTCCATTTCATATCCCAAAAAACTTGGTCTGCTAGTTCTTGGAAAGTGGCCGGCGCGTTGCATAATCCAAAACTTAAGACATTAAATTCGTAAGTCCCATGTCCTTGCGCCACGAAAGCAGTGTATTGCTTGGACTTCTCTTCGACTGGAACTTGCCAATATCCGGAAAACATATCGAGTGTGCTAAACCATTTTGCATTTCCCAAGTATGACAAAATGTCATCGATCTGTGGTAGTGGGTATGTCAATTTTTTTGTTACTGTGTTCACCTTTCTGTAATCTACACAAAATCTTGTTTTTCCATCTTTTTTCTTAACTAGCACTACAGGGCTAGCCCATGGAGAGTGGCAAGGCCGAATTACTTTACTATCGAGCATTTCCTGGATTTGTTCGTCAATAATCTGTCTTTCTTTTTGTGATACTCTGTATGGGCGGCTCTTTATTGGGCGAGCCTCTCCGACGTCTATCATGTGTTCTGTTAAGTTTGTCTTTCCCATATGTTTTGTGGATTTCGCGAAAACGTCGTTGTATTCCAGAAGGAGTTCTTTGAGTTCATGCCTGTTCTTTTCGTTTGTGATGCTGTCTAACTTATGATCTTTCATTGTTATTTCTTCACTCTCTTCGTCTTTTTCTGCTTGCAACATGAAATTGTGTGAAAGATTTGTCCCTGATGCTGTTTCTGCCAAAAATGCCATTGTGGTTCCTGCGTAAATAGCTACTGGGTTCCTTGTGTTCGATTGTACTTTTAAAATGAGGCTACCTTCATTGGTGTGAATGTGCGTTTTTAGTTCAAGATGATTTTTTGCTAACCAATCTAAATTATATTTGCATGTATACGTAGTATTATCTTTAATCTCACTATTTTTGCCCATAATATCTAATTCCAATGTTTTTAACTCATTCTGAGATACCGTGTAATCTTTCTTTGTACCCAATTTATATGTCTTTTTCTTGGTTTCTGTACCGATTTGCATCAGATGCCTGATTTCTTCTTCCTGCTTTTCTTCTTTAGCTTTATACCCAGGTTTTTCTCTATAAATATGAATTTGGACCCCTGCATCTTCAAATAGAAAATATATCATCTGTTTAAATCTTGTCCATTCTTTTTCTAATCCCCATCCTTGTCTTGGAATGACTAATTTTTTGATGGATTTATTTTTTGAGATATTGTTCCTCAGTGCTGTGAGACATTTATACATATTTCTTGGACTTGGCTTCTTCTTCATTGATTCTCTTGTAAATAGGAAAATGAGTGATTTTTTTCCTTGTTTTGACATAAATAGCTCCCCAATGGTTCCTTTCTCTCTCTTTTTTGGAATCATATTCCTATATTTTCTGAAAACCGATTTTTTTGATTTGTTGTTTTGGGTTATTCCTACTACTAAAACGGCATCGTTCGTTAGGAAGTCTATGTTTCCATATTCTTCTTTCAGGAGACCGTTAACCTGGTCATCTTTTATGTGAATGTGCTCTCTTACAAACTTGTTAAACTCTTGTTCATCTCTTGAAGTATCTAGTTTAAGCTCTCTCGTTTTAGTTGGCTGTTTTGTTGTGACCAGACCTGACATGTTGATTTTTTCATTATTCATTTGTCTTAGAGGTATTTCATACTGACCATTCAGAATCAGTTTTTTCCTTGGGAGATCTATGATCGCGTTATTTTTTGTCAAAAACTCCATGCCTAGGATGACTGGTTGAGTTAATGATGAAATCACTTTGGCGTTTAGTCTGCCCTTCCATTTCTGACTCCCTGGTATTTCTATTGGAACATCAATGTCTCCCAAAACTTTTATCTGGTGTCCTCCTGCAGTGACTAGAACCGTGTCATCATTTCTTGTTAGTTCCTCTTTGATTAGACTTCTTTGTAGAATGCTATCTTGTGCTCCTGTATCCACGATTGCTGACATGTACTTATTATTTAATCTAATTGTGATGTGCAAGATACCTATGTTATTGTTCTTCCCCATGGTAAGGATGGCAGGGGCTTTTAATTTTGCCATCCCTTCTCGTTTGGGTTTTGTCGTCGGGCTGTACAGGTGTTTGCAAAGTGACCCTGTTTTCCACAAACAAAGCAACCTGGATTGTTTTTGTTGTTTCGTGGCGTATACGATTTGTTCCTTTGAGGCTGGGATCTGCATACTATTGCAATATGTCCTGTTTTTCCACAGTTGTAACAAACGGTGGCAATTTTTGGGTTGTAGTTATGATTTCTCATCTTTTGGCTCCTACATACAGCTGCGAAATGTCCTGTTTTGCCACAATTATAACACGTTTGGCTAGCTATTGGTACTCTTGTGCTTGTGTGTTCTCCTTGCATTCGAATCCTGCAGGTGGCCATTACATGTCCTCTTTTTCCACAATAATGACATATCTTTAGTTCTGTGTCTGTTATTGTATTTCTTTCCGTACAGCTGGTAATTTGGGTATCTTGCGTTGCACTTTTCTTCGGAGCTTTATCTATTGTGTCTGCTATTTCTTTTAATTGTATAAGTGATGTTGGTGGCTTGTTCGGCGGGTTTGTTAACCAGTAGTAAGTGTAATGATTTGCCTTTGTCAATCCTTCGCTGAAAATCCTTACAAATTCTTGTATCTCAAATGTATGCGTGTAATTGTGGTATAATACTTGTAAATCGTACAAGTATTCCTTGACTGACTCATCTTGACCCTGTTTTCTGTTTTCGACTTTTTTCTTGAGTGCCCTTTGGTAATCTGTATCCTCAAATTCCTCTGAAAAATCTTTGACAATGTCTTTCCAGCTGTTGTTTTGGTGGTCGCGCTTGTATTCCTGAAACCACAGGTTTGCGGCTCCATCTAAATACGTTTCAAAATAAACAATTTTCAGCTTTTCGTCCCACCCATTTGCTATCGCTGATCTGTCATATGTTCTTAGGAACTCGATCGCGCTAGTTTTACATGGCTGGAAGGTCTGAGGGCTGATAAACTGAGGCAACTTCGCCTTTTTCTCCGCTGTTATAGCATCAGTTATTGTGGTGTTCGCCATTATATCCGGTTGATCTACTTCCTCTTTAGATGGTTGCCTGTGTTTTGGTGCTTCTTGAAGGGTAAGGTCTGGTGGGCTACCAAAAACACTGTCTTTTTCGTAGTCTGTTTGATTATTTGCTTGGTTTTCTATTTCACTTTCAATTTGTTCTAAACTGATACTGGTTGACCCTGGTGGGGATCTTTGAAGTGGCCTTCTTGACTGGGAAAATGAGTATTCAAATCCTGTGCTCCTATGAGACGGTCTGAATGATTCTGTTGGTGTTGCAGCTGCTGCGTTCTTTGGCCTCAAATTATATTTGGTTTTGTCTGGCATCTATTCTTGCCACAATGGCGACGGTACCAACTATGTGTCACAGTTTTTAAATCTACGAGTTTTCAAATCTACGTGTATCTTCTCCACCTTCGCCACGCTGTCGTGAATTTCTCTTGTCGACGTACCGCCTGGTGACGTGTTTGGGTGTTGGCTTGCTTCAAAGGCGCCTTAAGGCGTCGGTTCTGGGCGTCGGGTTCGAGACGGCGCCTCCACCAAATATGTCACAACTACCCGCTTTACAGGGGTGACATGGGGGGTTTGTAGCTTTGGGGGTAGATGGAAACTCGCTCGAGTTATATAAAAATATATGCTATATATTTTCCCAAATATAACCTTACATGTATGCTAATCCTATAAGGTACATGACCCTTCGTACACTGGGGTCCTTATAGGGGGCCACACGTCAATTCTGCTTGAGGGACTGTAGATAAGTTTATCGTCACCCTTATGCCTTGTCCAGAGGGGCGTTCCCAACGAGAGGTAATTGCACTGGACAACGATAAGGCTGAAGATACCCAGAGGGGCGTTCCCAACGAGAGGTACTTGCACTGGGGAGACTTAATTCCAGAGGGGCTTTTCCAACGAGAGGTACTTGCACTGGTTTAAGTCTCCCTTTGCTGCGGCTTGCAGCGCAATTTATATTAATTTATTGCTGAATTGCAATAAATATTCGATCGAATCGGCAATTAAATTAATAAGGTTGAATACCGGGTCCTCCTTTCCCAAGCAGCTAGTTGACAATATTTAAAAATATCTAAAATTATTTCAAATGTTTTCAGGATCACCATCTCCAGGAATACCTTGTCAAGGTTTCCAATGTCTTATCGGTCAGGGATACACAACCCCATCTACAACTTCCACTAGTCAACTAAGTTGGCCATATAGAACAAGTACCACACAAACCCCATTTGAACACATAATGAAAATCCCAGCAAAATCGTCTGGGTACCGAACAGTTAAACCCATAAACAAATCAGACAGAGTCACTCATGGCGGTTTCAACAACCAAAAATCACTTGATTACGTAGACATTTTTGATCCGGACGAGTCTCGTAACATTGCCTATGCCACAACAACTCAAAAACCTCAAAAACAAGTTTGGCCTCCACCTTTCAACGATGTAGCTACTCCAGATTCAAGTGCTGATTACGTTTTTGAATATGAAGATGGCGAACCAGTAACGTTAGAACCGGAAAATGTTCAAGTCGAGAAAAAGAAAAAATCAAAGTGCGATGTTAATGATTTTATGTGTGATAAAAAGAGTTGTGTGGCTAAGAATTTTGTTTGTGATGGTGTAAGGGTAAGTACAATTTAGTAGGTAAATATGTGATTTTATTTTAAAAGTTGGTTTTAAGGATTGTGGTGATGGTAAAGACGAAAAATATTGTCAAAACTATTTGGATGAATTTAAACCATTTAAGAATTCAAGACTGGATGTCTTAGAGAAGCTACGATGGGATAATGTTACTTATTCCACGTGTGCCTTGCTCTGTATGGACAATAATAGGTTTGAATGCAAATCGTTTAATTACAGGTAGATACAATAAGATTTCGATTGCCGATTTACATCATAAATGACTTAATTTGTTGCAGGAAACTTGATAAAACCTGCTTTCTTACCAACGAAAATATAGGTAGCAGTGGCGCTCTCAAAGAGTACTACCCCTGCGATTATTATGAGAGGAAAGGTACTTCTATGGATTGCTCTGATATGCATCAATGTCCCAATAAAAAGTGTTTGAACTCTGACCAAATTTGTGATGGATTTGACGATTGTGGTGATCGAGCAGACGAAGCACACTGTAGAGCTGAAGATTTTGGTTATAGCGTCCAGCTGGCTGCTGGACAGGAACCACATGAAGGCAGAATTGAAGTCACAGGTAAAATAATCAGGGTTTTCAATTTTTTATTTTTTTTTTAAACATCTTCATTATAGTTTTCGGAAAAACTGGTTACATTTGTGATGATCAGTTCAAAATAACAGAAGCTGATGTACTATGCAAAGAATTAGGTTTCAAATTTGGTGCTCTGGAGGTGAAAGGCAACTCATTCTTTGCCAAAGATCTTGAAGAGGATCACACTTTGTACATGATGGACGACATTGAATGTCTGGGAAATGAAACCAGCATTATGGATTGCAATTTTGCTGGATGGGGCATTCATAATTGTGCTGACAGAGAGGTAAGGCCCATATCCGTATTATAGTATTGAGTGTAATGGTACCTACCTTTGTAGATTGCCGGTGTTGTATGTAAAACCCCTCAAGACACATGCAGTGAAGGCTATTGGCAATGTGATACTGGCAATGAATGTGTCCGATTGCCATTTGTATGTGATGGTTTGGATGATTGCAGTGATAATTCAGATGAGGCTAACCATCATTGTGATGTATGTATGTTATCTCAAAAACTCTTGAAATCACTTTTTTAAAAAACAATAATTTATTTTAAAATACAAGTTATAAATAAAATCGGACATTAACTCAATTATACTAAATAATGACGAATAATGACGCTTAAACAGAGACAGGATCTTTTATAATTTAAAATATGTTGATCTTGCTGTTTCTATGGGAGCGTTGCGACCATGGACCAGACCTCTTGTCGTGACATGTTCTCACAGGATAACTTACTGAAATAGCGTGTAGACTTTGCGATACTTTGTACCACTGTGGTGATGAAACGCGTCTTGAGGTCAATGTAGTCGTGAAATCCATATAACAGCTCCCCCATTAAGTAAAAAGTTGGTGCTTTGCAACAATTTTTTCAAAGACCAACTGAGTTGTTGTGTAGACTGGTCATCTCTTGTTCTGAGGGTAGATTTGGAAGAACGGTGTTTCTTCGTTTCGGTAAAAGCTTTCTAAGGTTGTTGCCTATTTGAAGACGTGAATGAGACTTCGGCGGTTGTGGTTCGTCTTCGTCGATAGGGCTAGGCTTGGAAGGTGCCTTTCGCCGACACTTACAACAAATGGGATCATCAGTCAGTGGGGTTAATGGTCGAGAATTTAAAACCGATTCCACTTGAACCAGGAGTGTATAAAATTCTTCGAAGGTGAGCGGAACGTCATTGAGGATTCGCTTTAGATGCTGCTTGGTAGACCTTACAGCCGATTCCCATATTCCTCCAAAATGGGGTGATCGCGCAGGTATAAAATGCCATTGAATTGTATTCTGAATAAGAAAGTCCTGAAACTTGCTATCTTTAAGAACAGCATAAATTGCAGCAAACTCATTTTTTGCTCCTATAAAATTCGAGCCATTATCAGAATGAAGATTTTGACATAAACCACGTCGAGCGGTAAATCGTTTTAAAGCAGAAATAAAAGAAGCAGTACTAAGTTCAGTAGCTAATTCTAAGTGAATTGCCTTGGTTGATAAACAAACAAAAATGCATAAATAGCATTTAAGAATTTTTTTATTTCTGAACTTGGAATCTTTAAGCAAAAATAGACCGGCGTAATCTACACCAGTGTTGAAAAAGGGATGAAATGGAGTGACCCTTGAGCTTGGTAAATCTCCCATTTGTGCAATTATTGATTTGGGATTGGCCTTGAAGCAGGGAATACAAGACCTGATGACCCTTTTTACCAAGGATTTTCCATTTAAAGGCCAGAATTGTTGTCGAACAAATGATAGTGTGGCATGGGTTCCAGAGTGCAAGTTTCTATTGTGGTCATAAGTAATGATCAATTTTGCTAATGGATGGTTATGAGGAAGTAATATGGGATGTTTCTGTTCGAAACTCAATTGTGCATTTTTCAAACGCCCTCCGACTCGCAAAATGCCAAAGTCGTCAATAAAAGGGTTTAATGAACTTAAATTACTGTTTTTCTTTATAGAGTTACGGAATTTTAGTTTATAAATATCTTCAGGAAATGCTTTCGCATGCACTAATTTTACAATAGATTTTAGACTGGCAGATATTTCGGTTTGACACAGCGGTCCGACGGCTCGTTGTTTTGTAAAAGACCGGCTATTTTTCGAAAATCTCAAACAGTACGCTATTACATGCAAAAGTTTATTATAGCTAGAAAATTTATAAAATATTTCATCAAAATCATTTGAATGATTTCCTGCAAGGAATGACATAACAGATTTGGGATTAACTTCCGGCATTTCGGATACGTTACATTGACGAGCCCAGTTAGAAATGTGAGTTTTCGAAGGCCACGCTTCAGAGTATTTTGATAGGAATTCAGGGCCGTGCCACCATAGTTTATTGACTCTTAATTCGGGAGGATTAATACCTCTGGAAATCAAATCAGCGGGGTTGTGGGAAGATTTAATATGGTGCCAATTGTTGATGTCAGAAAGTGATTGGATTTCTGATATCCTATTGCCCACAAATGTTTTTAAATAACGAGGCTCCAAACAAAGTCAAGAAAGCACTATTGTTGAATCCGTCCAATGAAAAATTTGATTAATTGGTAAGTCCAAAATAACACAAATGTTTTTAATTAATTTGGTTAACAATAATGCGCCACATAATTCGAGTCGAGGCAGAGAGATTACTTTAAGGGGGGCTACACGAGATTTTGCTGAAAGTAAGTTGACAGTTATACCATCATGAAAATCCTCACATCTTATATAAATGCATGCGCCATAGGCATTAATAGAAGAATCGCAGAATCCGTGTATTTGGATGTTTTTTGGATTTTTTGAAGTAACTTGTCTGGATATTTTCAAAGAAATCACATCAGATAATTGCTGGACAAAATGAATCCAAACTCGACAAAGATCATTAGGTATGGGTTCATCCCAGGCGATCTTCAAAAGCCACAGCTTTTGAAGCAATATTTTTACTTGAACAACTATGGGACCCAGAAGACCCAGTGGATCAAAAATCTGAGAAATAGTAGAGAGTATAAAACGTTTTGTAACAGGTTGTTCTGTGGATATGTTTTTGGAGCTGTAAATAAAATTATCACTTTCTGAATACCAAGAAATTCCTAAAATTTTGGTTGATTGAGAATCGTTTATTACATATTCAGTGGAATTGTCATTAGATAGCCCTGATAAAACATTAGGATTATTTGAAGCAAATTTTCTGAGTTCAAACCCGTAATCCTTGAAGATGGACGATAAGTTCTGTCTTATGACTATAAGCTCATCGATAGAATTAGCGCCTGTTATTACGTCATCAACATAACAGTCATTGCAGATTATTTGACTTTCTATGGGAAATTGTGAAGTGCATTCAGTTGTAATTTGTTTTAGACATCTAGTTGAAAGAAAAACAGCACTGGATGTGCCATATGTTATAGTATTTAACTCGAAATGACTAAGCTCGTCTTTCCTGTTATCTCGCCAAACTATCCGCTGCAGACTCCTTTGAGAAGGATTTATGAGTGCTTGACGGTACATTTTGGCAATATCGCCTGTGAGCGCGAAATTGTGTCATCGAAAACGTATGAGAATAGAAAAAAGGTCATTTTGAATTGTAGGGCCGACTTTGAGTACGTCATTTAGCGATAAACCAGATGATGATTTCGCAGAAGCGTCAAACACAACCCTTAGCTTTGTCGTTAGGCTATCAGCCTTTTCGACAGCATGGTGAGGGAGATAGAAAACTGGGTATATAGGTACTTTGTGGGGATCCACTTTTGACATATGACCTAGATTAATGTATTCATGACTGAAATCGGAATAAGCCATCTTAAAATCGCTATTTCTATCAAACTTTCTCTCTATGGCTAAAAATCGCTTTTTGGCTAATTCGCTAGAATTTCCCAATTTATTAAAATTTTGCTTTAATGACGGACATGGGTTTCTTGGAAATTTGATTCGCATTCAAGTTCTTCTATAGAAAGTTTAATTTTTGGATTTTCTGGGAGCTCTTCAATTTTCCAAAAAGTTTCCAGTTTCTCATATAAATCGTTATTGGTTATCAACTGGTTAAAACAACAATTAATATGATCGTGATTTGGGTTTAACAATTGGATAGGACCGGAAATTATCCAACCAAGTTTAGTTTGTTGAAAAGTAGGATTATTTTTCCCTTGCCTGATTTGTCCTGAGCATAATATCTCATAAAATAGACCAGCTCCTAGGAGTAAATCAATGTCTGAAGGTTCGCTAAAATTTGGATCAGCAAGTTGAATATCTACAGGTATATTGATTGAAGTAATATCAACGCGTCGTTGAGGAAGAGGCTCGGTTATTTTTTCAATAACAAGAGAAGACATTTTAAAATTATATTGTTTGTGAATGGATGTAGCATTAATATATATTAATATAAGGTTAATACGAAGATTTTTTCGGAATCGAGCCCTAATTTATTGAATAAATTGAGCGAAATGAAATTGGATTGAGAACCTCCATCCAAAAGAGCTTTACATAAAATAGGCATCTGATTTCTGTCATATACATAAACCATAGCTGTAGCTAATAAAACATACTGATTGGGTTTATTAAAATTTGCGCAAGACAAGTTATAGCTAGTATTTGCATCTTGATTGCATGGTTGAATATTATCAATTTGGACTGAAGATGATGCCAAAGTGTGGCTACTGCGTTGTTGTGTATTTTGATTATCAACAATACTTGGTGTATTGATACTTGGTTGAGGTTCTGGATTGATTAATGAAGAATTCGAATTACTATATCCTTGACAAACTGGCGAAGGAGACGTCTTATTGTTAAGGGCATAATAATAATAATTATTAGAATTTTTCATGCCCTGCCTAGAATCAGAAAGCGTATGGGCTGAAACACAGGGTTGCTTATAGTTTGAATTGGGTTGCATATGGGTTGAATTGGGTTGCATATGGGTTGGATTAGAATATCCATGCAATTTTGAGTGTGAAGAAGTGGGTTGTTGGTTGCCTGAATTATCTAGAAATTGACGACTCTTGTTGGCCTGAAAAGTGGGTTTGGAATTATTATGAAGCAATGAATGGTGCCTTTTTTGGCAAATTCTGCAACTATGAGTTGATTTGCACTCCGATGCAGAATGACCAGATCGCAAGCAATTAGTGCATAATGCCATGCGTTTGGCTTCATTGTATCGAGCATTTATGGGTAAATTATTGAATTTTTTACAAGCATACACAAAGTGCTTTTCGTCGCACATGGGGCATTGATTGATTACAGATGAAAAATGTGAAAGAGCTTTGTTATTTGATATAGATTTGACAGTGTAATTTTTCAAGTCCATGGATTCTAGCAATCTACAATGATCAGTCATAAAGTTAATGAAATCAGCCACTGAAGGACTATCTTCATTTTTGGAAAATATTTCCCATTGCTGACGTGTAACCGAATTTAATTTTGATGTCAGTAAATATATAAGCAAAGTATCCCAATGTGCAACAGATTCTCCTAGTTTTTCAAGTGAACGGAAGTGCTTTTGAAAAGTATCTAAAAATTTACGTAAGTTAGTGTGAGTGT